TACGCAAAATATGCTTTGCTTCAAACAAAGATGGGGGATATGGTGACAGTTTGTATTTCATTACCTCATCTAAGCAGAGATATAGGATATAGGAGCAGACATTGTCCAAACGGCTCTTTGGTGTTCAGTCATGCCACTTCCTCTGGTTAATCCACCTGTACTCTTCAGAGAACGCATTAGAGTCTGCTCAATGACCAAGTTGGATCCAAGGCCAGCCCAATACTGATTGGAGCGTCTTATCGCATGTAATCCGTTTCTGAATTGTTGTAACACTACAGGGTTATTTGTTTTTAACGCCTGGCATTTCTGGAGGTAGAGATATGCAGATTTCAAGTAATTTGGGTGCCCAGCAGCAGCAAATATGGGTAAGCATTCAGATATAGCATGGATATGCGTTTTCCATGACCTGTACGATCAGCTTCAATAAGCTTGCGAGCAACTCCGAGCATTTTCTGGTAGTTAAGCCACAGTTTGCTTGTTTTTGACCTATAATTCACACATTTTAGAATTCAGAGCATTGATATTGATATTGTTAAGGCAGTTTGATTTCAATAATGTGTCTAAAGCTAGATGCTGATTGGCTAAGAGTTTGATCTGTATTACTCTTGAGTGGGCATGCATTCATTTCCTTGTTTATTAAAAGCTGATTTGACCGTTATCTTTTCTCTTTTTTTTTAAATTAAAAGGATTTTATATTATATTAACCTAAAAAAATAAACTTGCATTTAATATTAAAATAAAATGACGTCATTATGTCAAAAATGACATCATTTTTGACATAATGACGTCATTTTGTATGTTATGATGTCACCTAAAAAACTTCAGACACCTTCAAGACATATGCACTTAGCAAAATATGCAATATTTTTAGTAATACTGTATTTACATTCAAAACGGTAGATTATTGTTGAATTCCACATTTATGAGTAGATTTTACTCATTTTTACACATTTGGCGGCCATCTTTGTTTTACCTCATATTTTGAACCTTTCCGGTGGTTTGATTTTTGCCAACTTTTGATATGTTATTCCCCACATGTTATTGTACATAAAACCATCATAAAATGTTTTCTTGCAATTTTTGGGGGTAATTGCATTTTCTTCATATTTTGACTCTACTAATATAGTAATGATGAAGATCGTTCGTGTACCTACTGACTGATGAGGCATGATTAAAAGTGCCTCTCATTTTCAATGGATTACATTCCATTCCAACCATGGTATAACCAGTCGATGGATAGCCCAGTAATGAGATATTTTGTTTAGATTTCACAGCGTGTTCCATGTACCTCCTCCATTTATTTAAAATTAAATTATTAAAACATTGCCTATAATCTAGTAATGTACTAGTATATTATTTAATCTAGTAGTAATGTATATAATTAAAAACATATTGGGCAAGTATTCATACTTCTTAATACTGTACAGGTATATTAGACCAGGCTATAATTGAGATAGGTGCCAATTGGAGAGGTAGAAATTCTCATATGGTTTTTCTGTACCAGTTTTTTATGGGGAATCAGAATATGTGAGGTAAAAGGGGTGTAACCTGAGAACTTATGCATGAGGACACTTTTTCAAAATTGCCACCAAAATCCAATAAACTACATATATATGGGTAAAATAAGCACAGAAGAGGTAGGTTTGACCAACTTTCGAACATGTAATGATAGGAGTAAAGTATAACTAGCTAAAGTTATTAATGTGAAGATTTCGGGAGGCAATTGAGGGCGCTTTTTAAAATGGCCGCCAAAATTATATAACAACTTAACAGCAGCTTCAATACCCTAGATAAATTTGTTTAATTTACAAAACATGAATGTAATAACTGCTGTTGACTTTTTAAACGTAAAACAACATATTTTAAGGGTGTAAGCTAACTCACTTTTGAAAATGTAAGTAAAAATTCCCCTTTATATTAGCCCTTTTCTGTTTTGAAGAATGGAAAATATCACCAGAATCTTAAAAAAAATTCCAGCTTCCTTACAAATATCCGTTTGGTTTTCATTATTTCTGTGTGCTACACAAGGCATTCCAGACCACAATTTTCATGTATGAAGAAGGCATCAATTCATGTACTACATATTTGTCTTGTAGTGTTTAATTGTGTAGCCCTATGTTGAGCAATAATCTTCAGGTATTACTTTTATCACTGCAATCTGAAAGTCTTCGTATTTATCGTATGAACAATTCTTGGACTTCACGGGAATTTGTTTATTCCATCTGTTCCATCAACTATTTTTATTGACAGTCATTTACCTCTGCTTAATTTCATTCTTGAACGATTAAGTTTGCTAAGTATCTGCAGAAGCTCGAGATTCTGCTAACATGGTGGCAACAATGATATGTCAGTGATGTTGTCTCTGCAAAACTTTCTATTGAACATGTTACTTGCTTGATTTACACTTTTCTCGAAGCAGCAGTAAGACATATTCTTGTCCTTCAGACAAATTTTGTGACAGAACATCTAAAACTCCAAAGTTGCTGAAAGTTTCAACAAACACAGTTTGCGATTACAGAAGCTACTTTTTCCTTTACAAAAGAAAGCAGGGGTGTAATTGTCTGTAATATCGATGTCTGAAAAAGGGAACGGATGATTGCTATGCCCTCCTATTCGTTAAAGCATGCTTTGCATACAGGAAGACTTTCGTGTCGGCTTCTTCTTGGTGGTACTTTGCCAAAACGCAGTTTGCTGAATCAAAAACTACGAATCCCACTTGCACTGAAACCCACTTTGTCGAAAATAAAATAAAAGCAGTATGTAAAACATTAACCACAGCATAACATTCATGTTGGAACACTCTCTTACTATGTATTCGTATAAGAAATAGCAGCTTATTGTAGTTAAATGATTCTTATTGTTTTAATAATATGTAAATCAATTGGCTATCAAGCAAATAAAAGTCAATTTAATAGGACTCGCAGTTAAAAGGTTTTATTAGCATACCTATGATAAATACATAAATTATAATAATCTACAATTATACACACATGACAATTGTGGCTCCAGAAATTTGTCGACAGGGGGTCTGACTTAAGGGGCCGACTAGAGCCTCGGTGGTCAGGGACCTGGCACAACAATCCTGATAGGGTTTGCAGAGGGAGTATTTTAGAAGGATACGATGCTTATCCTTAATTTCATTTCATTCTAATTTTAACTGATAGCCATGCTTTCAAGTGTGTTTTTCTACAGCTATTATCTCTGTGTTTCTTTTGTAACACAGAGATTTGGACTGGGTTTCGGAAAACTAAGTTTTGGCAAACTGGGATTTCATTTCAGCGAACTGTATTGGGCATTCTGGGTTTCGGCAAGCTGAGTTTCTGCAAACTGGGATTTCATAATTTCAGTGAACAACTGGATTCAACAAACTGGATTTTGACAAACTGGTTGGATACCTTCTTGAATACTATTGCTATCGGCGAGAATGCATCCTTGTCACTGAAAGAGATTTTGTATTACTTACAGATCTCCGTAGCAGCTAAGAAAAGCAGACTCGAAAGTTGTCCTGCATGCAATGCATGCTTTAAGGAATTACAACCAATACATAAATATCAACCGTTCCATTCTTGAGACATCGATATTGCAGTCGTTGCTACTGTATATCTTATTTTATAGACAACGGAGAGAGGGTCATTCTAGACACAAACACTAGCAAATACCAAAAGTTGTTCAAATTAAGTGACATTAACTTTCACCAGCGAAGAAATCATCCCTTATTGGATCTCGTGCTTCTGTAGTCAAAGGCAAATTTTTGTTGACACTTTCTGATAACTTTAAAGTTTTAGATGTTCTGTCACAAAAGATATCTGAGGAACTTGAAGATGCGGCATTGAGTTAAGCGGAAAAGTGTAAATCAAGAAAGATGAAATTTTCAATAGAGGCAACAAGATCACAGACGTATCATTGCTACCACCATGTTTGCAAGCAGACCCTTGAGCACTTGAGCAAATTTAATTGCTAAAGAATGGAAATTAAGCAGACGTAAATGATCTGGTCAGTAAAAATAGTATTCACAACACATGGAATGATCAAATGAAGCAAAAAAATGATAGAGTGATGCCCATAGATGTCCAAGAACTGTTTATAATAAAGACGAAGACTTCAGATTGCAGTGATATTAGCAATACATGAAGATTACTGATCAACATAGGGTTACACAGTAAAGGACAATTATGTAATAAA